GATCCCTGTTCCTAAAGTCTACTGCAAGTTGCTAAATGGCAGGTCACGCTGAGCAGCTAAAATATCAACATATAAGCAATACAGTTCACTCTCCTTCATTTTGATACTGGTGTCGCGTAGCTTAACAGCTAGTTTTAAGCTGCATTTGCGACTTTACAGCTACATTTGAATTTACCACGCCCAGAAGCAAATACTGTCAAATTAGGTTGTGTGATTTAAAACGATAAGAAAGGAATTGAAGGGAACGGATCATATCTCCGGGAGAAGAATGTGGACGTTTAATGTCTGACTGTAACGCGAACCAAGTGTCGTCACCACCTGGAACAAAAATTATTGTCAGCAAATTCATTCAAAAGACCACACCCTACATTTGTTTTTCCTTTTGTCCAACTTGCTTTGGCACTTTCATTGAAGCCAATGTATTATTTTATTTTATTTTGTACTGTTTATTATTAATTATAATTTATCATTAAAGGCTAATTGATAAACATTTGGGTACTGTATTTATTTGACAAATGTTCAGATATAAGCACGTTCTATTTTCTTTAAACAAAAATAAAAAACATTTGCGGTGGTGTCTACATGCTAACAGACTGGGGTGTAGTCCATGGAAGCAAGCCTTACACTATTATTCTACTCTATATTGCACCATTGGCAGTACTTTACAAGATAAAGGTCATTGACTTTGTATTGAAAACTCCATCTAGCTGAAACTAAAGTACAAGCAATTCATCGTTCTCCAGAAAGCATTAGCAGCTACTAATTTAGAAATAGGGGAATCATTTTTCCTAAAATAAAGGTCAGCAACAAGGTCGGTTTTGTTGGAACTTTCTCCATGCTTCTACTCAAGTGTGCCAAACTGAGTGTGCAGCACTTTAGAAGGCTACAAAAATTACTATTTCGTACAAAGTTACATGTTGGAGATGCCGTTTCTGTGATAAGTAATTCTGACATTTGATTCTATTTAGACTGCTATGAGCAGAAAGGCATCTCAGCTCAGGTTCAGGAGCCTCATAAGCAGCTTGTACAGGCAAAGCAGGATCAAAAGTTTTCTAGTGGCCAATCTTAGGCCTGTGAGATTCTGATAAATATTTTTTCTCGCTTACGAACTGGTTTCAGGTTTTAAAATTAGCACTTTCAAGTGAACTATTTCACCAAATATACTGAAGGAATTCTCAAGTATGAGTTTACAAGATGAGTTCATCTTAAAATTGTTTCTTGAAGACAGAATGGCTAGATTACCAATGATCAATGATGATGAACTGTAGCTGATTTCACTTCAACATAATCTCTAAAAATGTACAATTCAGGGATTATCCTTCAGTTTTGTGTCAAGTTACAACTCTTGTCCACATTTCCATATTGACAACAGCCTGAATATATGTTATTCAGTTTTGTGTCAAGTTACAACTCTTCATTTCCACATAATACTTCATTCATACACTGATTACAATATTGATAACAGCCTGAATATATGTTGTGAATTGGAGGTGTATACTTTTATCGCCCCATTTTTGGACACACCTGATCTCAAATAAAACGTAACATAAGGACACCATGACAGTACTGCACAACCTCTACAGTCTCAGTCTCTCGTTACAGGGAAATTTGGCAAAAGGAGATTTTTAAAACTGTTTAGCTAACGGTGATGGACACACCTGTTGGACAGTTAAAGCAGGATTACCCCATGGAGGATGCATGACAGGTCAGTTGCACACAAAACGGGGAAATGCTATCCCACCTAATACATCTGCAAGTACAGACAGCAGGGGAAAAAAAAGTTTTACCCTACGCAGAAACATCACACTGGCTTTATCCAATCCCCTGTGGTGTTTTACTTCCTGAACTGATGAGATACTAACAGCAGGACCACCTGCTGTCCCGTTGAGCTCGGCTGCAGCATTAAGCCAGGATGCTGTTATTGGGGATATTTTTGGTGCCCACTTGTCTACATTCTGACGGGATTCTACACTGATTAGTCACGCTCCCTCTTCCTCTTCCTGTTTCATTCCTTCTCACCCAACTCCTCTTTCACTCGATACCGATCACAACTTTTCATTTCTATTTGAATCACTTGACCCTTAAATATAAGGTATAAGGATTTTTATTTTTTATAAACATGAAATTCCTTTCACCCATATCAGTCTGTTGGCCTGGGTTTCCGGGAAATTATTTATTAGTCAGAGCTCTAGGGTTTATCTGTTAGGGATCATCTTGACTCCTACCTTTTTCTTGTGCTTCTGCTGCTGTTCCATTTCCTTGTCTACAAGGACACTGCTGCTCCCGGCATCACTGTTGATACTACAGTTGATATGACCGCAGCTTCATGTGCTCATCACAACAAAATTGCTTCCTCTTTTCTCTTCACACTCCATGTCTTTGATCTGAAACGTATGGAAGAAATGAGAACGTGTGAGAGACAATAAGAGCAGGGAATATATAGGTATGAAGTTCTGAGGACTGTATTGGTACTGTTTGTGTCTGGCTCTGTGCTAAATATTTTATATTAAAGAGCAATGGCACCACCCAGAGGATTTTTTGTGACAAAAGAATTGTGTTCTATTCATGCATCATATAGAACCACAACAACAATATTTATAAAATTATTAAAAATAATAATAATAATATAATAATGATAATAATGTGCACCAAAAACAAAAAAAAACATTAGAAAAAATTAGAAAACTGTCGTTACTGCAGGACATTTCCGACAGAGGGCGGTCATTACACATGTTGTTCATATGTGTTTAATACAATTGCTGTATAAATCGACAGATGGTACTTTCTTGTACGAATCTTTATTTTTATTTAATTTTATTTTCAAACTAAAGCATTTTTATAAATAAAAATATATAATATTTTTTTAAAACTATATTATTGAAAGTCGCGGAGTGTTTGTGAGGGTGTTTACGGGCAGTGGTATAAAACATCCCTGTTGTGTAGAATTACAGTATCTGAATATATTGTGAATTTTAGGAGGTTATTCAATACTAAACTTTAGACAACAACAATTGTGTTTTTAAGTTAAATTATTTGTTTTCCCATTCTTCTTAGAACATAAATGCACACTTTTAGGTATAACCCAAATTAACTAATTCCGCTTAAGAAAGCCTGTTACAGTTCTGCAAACATTAGCATTTTTATCTGACACCTGTAAGTTACATGGTGCTGCGTTAGCAACAAGTTAGCCCCGCAAAATTCACCCCATTGTCAAATATGCGTTTTCATATAACACCTCTTGGAAATAGTAATAAAATAATGTAACATAAACAATATATAAAAGTTAGGAAACATTAGACGCTGTACCTGATATAAGGTGGTCGTTGCATAACGGGTCCCACCGGTCCGGGTTTTTTCTGGTCGCTTCTGGCTTGTTTTATTGCGTTTATCCACTTTTGTCGCCTTTCAGTATCTTGTTAAATGCCTGTCCCTTCGCTCGTCCTCCCGGGGCACACAGCTATCCACCACACTTTATTTATTTATTTATTTTATTTATTTCTGTTTATTCAACTTTACCTGCGACTTCCCTGCCAATTTCGCGGGGGTTTGCTAACGAGTGACGCATTACGGAATGTGTGACGTCAACACCCGGAAGGGAATCACTGGGTGTTGTGAATGTAAGTCACTATAAACTTAATTCAACTCGTTCAAAATTACGTGCTTTATTGTACTTACTACTTAATATGCAACATTTTAGTATTATAAAATTTAGTATTCTAAAAAAAAATCTAATTAAATTTTGGTTAATATGGTTAATATTTTGCTATTAACTATTAACAAATTGAAAATGTTAAAATCTCACGTCGTCATTGAAGCAGATTGTATGGCCTTTGACAAATGGAATCTAATGTTAATTGTACACCATTAAAACATAAAGAAAACATTGAAAATATTTAAACATTTACAGACAGCATGGCTGAGCATAGAGTTTAGTTTAGTTTTTTTTATCAGGCTTTGGTAAAAAGGTTTACAAAATACGTTTTATATTTTTCTAAAACTTCCTGAAAATGTTAATATTAAACATTTTTGTTGTTTTACTTTACCATTTTTGGATTACAAAATGCACAAAGAGACTAAATAACTAGTAAAGTGCAGAGAGGGTACTGTAAGGACACATAGGGACAATTGTAGGCTTGAACAGGTGTAACCACTAGAAACGGCAGAGAAGTCCCCTCTGACGTGCTTTGTTCGTCCAGTCATGTGTTGAGGACAGTTGGACATGACAGACACTTTGTGTGCAAACAGCAGCCTGGCCAAAACAGAGAACTCCCAGAAGATGAAACAGACTGTCACGTTCTACTGCCAGAAAAAAACATATCCCACCTTCATTTTTTACTTATTTCTTTTCAAATGTTTTTAGATTTCATTATAAAAAAAAGAATTGTTATATTGCAGTGGTTTCAAAAACAAACAATCAATTTGTCACCTATTTTCTATTAGTATTCATCAAATGATACTTGCCCCTTTAGGTCCAAACAGATCGTCTAGCGTCCATCAGTCAGTCATCGGCCTCAGCCATGATAAGACCAGGTGTACAACTGCAGGACTGAAACACAATACATGTAAACACTACAGGTACAGCACCATAGTGTTGTTGTTTTTTATTCAGGTTTGAAAGAGATTGAAAGCTCAACTCAAGAAGGAAAGAACATAAAAGAACTACTGGAACACCAAGGTGTAAAAGTGGTCAAGACTAAGTTTTCCTTTTTCACCCATCTGCTTCAGTGACTTCTTACAACATGGTGCAGGTGTAACACTATTGGCTGGAGACAAACTACTAATTTGTGTTCAAACAAATCTCAAAAGTAAGTTGTTTTCTTTTTAAAACATATAAAGAGATTAAAACTCACCCACTCTCTTTGTGATTGTTTCTTTTTTTTCCCGTAGATCTCTAAATATTGGTCTCAGGGGGGAAAAAAGTCAGTTATAGGATTTAAATATTCTTAACAAAGGGTTTTGTATCTCAAGTCAAATCCTAAAATGAAGAAAACAACATCTTAACATATGACAAAACTGACAAACTCACAGGAAGTTTTTTTTTTTTTTTTTCATTTTAAATGTACCGGTCAACTCCAAAAGACGGTAAAATAAATTAAACAATTGTGTTTGAAAAGTACATATCTTTTGATATGTAATTTTTTTTGACACAAAAATACATTACAACAACATGTTAAGAAACAAAAACTTGGAAACATTGAACAATAACCTGAGTTGGAAAATAAACATTGTGGTCACACAATCAAAAACCTATTTTTCATGTGCTTATGTTTTACATAAGTGGAAAAGTTCACATGTAAACTTGTATTTTTCTGCACATTCCATAGACGGGCGCAGCACTAGCTACGAAGAGAGATGCTTTTGAAAGGACACCGAGGCAGGGAACAGCGGAAAATTGCGGGAACACTATTGCAGTGGACAGATGGGCCGTAGCAGGTGACAGGCAGCATGTGACTGGGAAAGTGCAGGGCACAGATGTCAAGAAGCAAGGGAATCTGTACAAAGGTGCAGTTCATACAAAAAGTTTGTTTTCTTTGTCTTTAGTTCCCGCATCATATCTCGATTTGAGCTTCTTTGGCAGGCGACGGCTCCTTCAGTGGGCCCGAGATGGTGTAAAACCTGCTGGAGAAATTAGGATATAAAAAATAGTGAAAAAACATCATTTGTCTTTTTTTTTGTTTTTTTGTCTGTTTTATATCAATCATTAAAAAATACGTAGCATTGCTCATATCCTGGCACTTAGCAGCCAGATTGGGTTGCCTAATCCCATTACTGTCACTTTACAGCGCAGCTAATAGCTTACCTTGACCTTCTGAAATGCAGGCGTTTCTTCAGAGAACAGACTTTTGTGCAGGAATTTTTCATGTCCACGAGCTGGTAGATGATGGGGTTGTACATGGCCGAAGACTTGGCCAGCAGGGTGGGAATGACCGAGACAGATATGGGCACTGTGTCTGGCTCGCCAAATGCGGACACCACTGATACCACCGCGTATGGGATCCAGGCTATCAAGAAGCCCGCACAGATCAGCATCGCCACCTTGAGGGGTAGATGACAGAAATGTATATTCATACATATATGTGTATATATGTTTTGTCTGCATATATGTATACATACATATATAAAAGCAGATATGTGTACATATTTTGCAATTACAGCCCCTTAGGCTACAGACAGGTGGCAGTGTGTGACGGTGTGAGTATCTGTCTGAACAACTACGGTAGAATGCAGAGCATTTACCATAAATCTGCAATTTATATCGAGGGCACTGACGTGAACAAACATATTGAAAACAATCCAGACTTCACTGCATTGTTAACTGTAATGTGAATATTACAAGATGAACAAAAAGACCTCCTTAAGGCTGTTAAATTTGGCCAGTCTCTCATTAAGAATCCCAAAATGGAATTTTCCTGTTTATTAACTGTCATCCCTGTTTTCAATGACAGTTAGTTTCCCTATGTTTTGGTTCTGCACACATGCACACCAGCCAATCACTGCCTGTAAAACCACATTAAATTAATCACACAAGAGATAATAATAATAATAAGTTCATTATTTCTGCTGCGTCTCTTTCTCTAAACCCACGTTTGTAACTACTCACACACCTTTGTGAGTTTCATCTCCAGGTTGTGACTATTTGAGATGCGGGCGTCAAAGTGTGACATCTCCTTGGCAGTAGACTTGACTTTGAAGATGATCATGACATAAGAAAAGACAATGACGCCCGTGGGGAGGACGAGACAGAAGAACAGGATGGACAAGACAAAGCTCTGACCAGACACGGATGCCTGTGCCAGCCACCAGTCCAAAGTGCATGAAGTCCCAAAGGGCTCTGGGGCGTAGTTTCCCCAACCCACCAGCGGCATGGTGGCCCAGAAGCCCGCATACACCCATACAAATATGACACAGAGGAAGGCGTGTTGGCGCTTCAGCCATTTACCTGAGGGTTAAAAAAAACAGAGCAGTGAGAGACATGGACGTACTCCTGGGTTTAAGCCACGATCAGCAAGTAAATCCATTCATATTAAGCCACGATCAGCAAGTAAATCCATCCATATATTTCTTTCTATCCTCTATCTATCTATCTATCTATCTATCCATCTATCTATCGATCTATCTATCTATCTATCTATCCATCCATCATCCATCCATCCATCCATCTATCCATCCATCCATCTATCTATCTATCTATCTATCCATCTATCTATCGATCTATCTATCTATCTATCTATCTATCTATCCATCTATCTATCGATCTATCTATCTATCTATCTATCTATCCATCTATCTATCGATCTATCTATCTATCTATCTATCTGTCTGTCCGTCTGTCTATCTATCTATCTATCATCTAACTATCTATCCACCCATCCATCATCCATCCATCCATCCATCCATCACTTCCATCTATCTATCCACAACAACTAAATGTTGTTTTCTCCTTTCTAAATATTGATAATAAATAAAGTGACAGCCGACTTTGACAATTGGCACGATACATTAAGTTCTATATTTTTGGAACAGTACCATATTGTAGGTGACAGATTTTAAGGTAGCGGTCCAAGCTGACCATGGTCATTGTGATGAGGCTCCCGCATCCAAAGAAGAACCCCGCCCAGCCATAGATCTGACAGCCTTCCCAGCCGAACAACCAGCGATGGTACAAACTACATATAATGAAAAATGGCTTTCCGGTAACTGCAAAACAGAGCAGGGGGAAGCAAAGACGGGTAGGTGGGAAGGATTAAAAAAAGAAGGGTAGAAAACCAGGGAGGAGGGAAGAAAGGAGGGAAGAAGGGAAGGAAAAGTTGGGAGGAGGAAGATGCATTAAAACGAATGTTCTTCATAACTCATTTCAACAAAGAAATGAAAAAGTGACAAAACTTTATCTTTCATTTGAGGTAGACCAGAGTTTCCTATAGTTGGGGGCAGGCCCAGAGTTTTTTATTATTAAATATTATTAAATTTGTTTTTTTGTGATTTGATTGTTTTTTTCCTGAGGGAAAATCAGTGAATTGTGATTATAATTTACAGTGTTTTATACTATAGATGAGTTTTAAAGCAATAGCAGTGAATGGGGAGGTCTTAAAAAAAACTATATACTGTATATAATAATAATAACAATAACTATTATTATTAATATTATTATTATTATATTCGCTACAGCTTTTTTACAACTATAGAGGGAGCTCTTTTTCATAACAAACTCATTTATGACAAGATGCATGTATTTGCCACCCATATTGGTTTTCAATTTCCCTAACACTTTTTTCTATTACAAACAATATATTGTGAGAGAGCTACACATTATATCAGAGCCAGAGAGGCAAAGTGACTCTATGAATAATTTATTTACCTCTTCCGCAGAACACAGTGAATAAATAAACCAATCAATTATTGTTTGCTGTGAATAGGTAAGTGTTGTGGGTTATTCCCAATATGAAGGTCTGGGGAAGTGAGCCTATAGATTAAAGCACCTCCAGCAATACAGCATATACTGCAGCATATACAGATGTCAAGTGGGCTGAACCAGTACAATCATAACATAATTACCTATAACTAGCAATAAGTCCACGTTTTACCCCTTTGTTTTCATGCAAACAAGTGCAGGTATATTAGATATTTATCACTTTTTCATATTGAATGAATATTAATATTTTTTACAAAAAATATCCTTAGCACAAAGTGGGGTTTTTTTGTGTGTTTTAAATTCACCAAGCAGGCCGGATTTGACTTCCTAGTGGGCCGGTTTTGGCCCGCAGGCCATATGTTTGACACCCATGGTTTAAAGGTTTGGGTTTTTTAAAATGTCTAATTTTTTTTTGTTTATTTAACAATAAAATACATTTAAAAAAATACAAATTTGAATAATAAAAAGTAATTCAGTACCTGAAATGCCAAAATCAAAAACTGCTAAATTAACCGTCATCAGCTCCATAGGCTTTAACTTGGTCCTGCGCTTGATGGTCATATAAATGACGTAGCCATTTCCTGTTGCTGATAAGATTCCTGAAAGAGGAAGAGAAACACCATTTTAGAAGAAACAATATAAACACACACACACTGGTGGGTCTGCACCAAGTGAATTTCGATGTGGCGAAAAAAGATTTGAATAAAATGTAATCTGTAAAAAATTACACACAAATTTAAAATTGAACTTAACCACACAATTTTGATCTATACTCTACACATTACACATTATTCATTATAAAATGGATATTCGTGTATAAAATTCTTGAGATCAAAGGACATGCATGTTTTACTTTTGAACTGTGCACATACATATCAGTACATAAATTACTGCTGTACCACATACAGAGATAAGTTCCAAGAGACGGAGGTGGATGTAGTATTTTACATGTACAGTATGACATACCCCCTGGTGCTCACCCCCGGGCGTCATTTCTGATCTCAGTAGCGCTCAGTTCACATGAGTCCGAAACGCACATGAAACAGATTTATATATTTCTGGCTAAGACACAGGCACCACTTTTCAGTTCTTTAATAAAAACTGCTCATGGTATCATACGATATGATACAACCCAGTAATAATACCTCTGAAGTACATGTATAAACAGCAGCGGTGAAACAACGTGTAGTGCATTACAACAAAATAAGACAAAAAAATACAAGAAAAATTAAAAGAAATTACTAATGTTATAGATATACTGTATATGTATGTATGTATTAAAAGCATTTCAAAACAAAGGACCAATGGCGGTCCTCCAAGCTGCGAACACACTGTGAATGGATTTACTGTAACTTGAATCAATTACATCTGCAATAAATGACCTTGACTGCAGGAAGGACATTGTCTTTCGATGTATTCATTAAGTATAGATCGTAAGATATTGACAAGAACATTCGTCTGATCGTGTGTAGCTGCAACAGTCCGACTCTAGGGATCTGTCATCGGTCAAAATGCATAATGAAGAAGAAAAAAACATCCTTAAGTCGCTCCAGAATGTAAGTCGCACCAGCCAGCTAGAGTGCCCTCTAGCGGTTGTGAGTGCGAAAATAACGAACATTTGAAATATATAAGTTGAGTATAAGTCACAAACCCAACCAAAGGATGAAAAAAAGTGCGAAAGTAAAACTTATAGTCTGGAAATAATAGTCTGGAATTAATCAAGGTTGCTTAATTTTCCGAAGGGAACTCCCAAGGGAAATAAAGTTCTATTTATCTATCTATCTAAACATAAGGCTCAGGATTTGTATTTCCATGCAAGGCACCACAGTCATATAACTGCCCTCAAAGTCAATCATCGTCCAGTCTAAATGCTCCACTTGGCAGATACGGGTATCAGTAAATAGATGAACAAGAAGATTTCAAAGAAGATTGGCTTTTTTTTTTTTTTTAACCTTACCTATGATGCTGATGTAAACTGCCGCAGCGATATCCGCCTCTTTTGAGAGTCTTGATGCGAAGGGGTCTCCACGAAGCATATGATGAGAGGCGTAAGAGGGCCACGTCTCATTTCCCATCACCGCCATCAGTGGAGGTTATCCTGTAGGGTGAAGCAAGTGGCTGTGATAGTCTTATTACAGTAATTCCAACGGGCAACAGCGTTATGCATGCGTCAATGTTACAACATAACAACCACAGGTCCTTGGTCCTTTGTCAACAATCAGCTGTTTACCCAAACAGTGGAGGAAATAATGTTTCTCAACCACATGACAGCAGCTCACTGCATGTAGGCCGGCTGAAGTCAACAACAATAGGTAATGGATTTTAAAGAATGGAGATATAATCGATTTTAAAGGCCACATGTTTAGGACTAAGGAGAATCTACAGTAGCTTCCTGAATGTCCTCTGTGTCAAGAGAAGTCTTCAATCAAGATTAAAATACAACACGGATGAAGTTTGTCCTCTCTGGGCTGGGCTAGTAAAACATTGAGACATCCAGCATGAAAGCGCGTCAGTGAAATCATGGAAGACTGGCTACAAAGGGAACACATCAGATGCTTCTCAAATCAGTTACGCACGTTAAACTTAGTCGTGATTCACATGAAACAGTTCCCTGTTGAAAAGAGAGAGAGAGAGAAAAAAAAATATCCTCAGGGTAAAATGATTCAGCAAAATGCACTGAATAAACTTTGGGTCTTCATTAATCCAAGATGGTTTTTTAAAATGTTGTTGTACCCGCCGTTTAAATGACAATAAAGAATGACAAAAACTGGATAGTCCAAGTGGGGCCGTTACAATGACAATAAAGAATGAGAAAAACTGGATAGAACTGGTTACCGTATTTTCTGGACTAGAAGTCGCTGAAGTATATGTCGCACCAGCCAAAAAATGCATAATGAAGAAAAAACAAACAAACATATATGGGTTGCTCTGGAGTATAAGTTGCATCAGTGCCCTCTAGTGGCTGTCAGTGTGAAAATAATGAACATGCAAATTTTCAGTGGTACTGGAGTAGCAGATACTGGTATACAAGCTTAAAGTGCCCCCTAGCGGCTGTTACTGTGAAAATAACCAACATATGAAATTATGTTTTTTAATATATATATATAAGTCGCACCTGAAAATACGGTACTACATGTCACAAGGAGTTGTTGATGAGATGTTTCTTATTAGGACGAGCTCACTTGTAATACCTTGTTGTGCTAAATGCATGTCAAACGGACACATACAAATTCACACACATTTACACACGCAACGCTGAAATACATTAATTAATTGTTAATTGATTGTCAGTTATACTGACACTCAGAAAAGCATGTTTTATACACAGCGTACAGTATATTATAACTACAACTGCACAGTCACTGTAAAAGAGACGTTTCCACTGAACCATAGACATAAACACATGTTCAATGTGTTTGTGATTAATGTTTTTCAATTGTCAAAAAACAGTTAACTGGTCCTTTAAAATAAGCCGTTGACTATACGTATGAAAATTCTATTTGTCACGCATGCAATGTTCAGGAACATTACTGACTAAATCATGTCTCCTATAGAAACACATTCATTTATATTACTTATGTTATAGCAGTGGCTGATAAAAAAAGAAAATAAAAAAGAAATTGAAAATAAGAAAAAAATAAGAAATAAGTAAAAAAATACAAATTTTATGTTCTGATTAGATTAATGTAATGGTGGCACGATGCTACTAGGACGCTGCTAATAAAGTTGCATACACAGTGGCTTAACATGTATTATTATATTAACCACACCACTTTTTTATGCCCATTGTATCAATTTATTCAGTTGTATTTTTCTGCAGCACCTTAGAAACTGGTCCAATGCGCAAAAAAGGGTTGGGGATCGCTGTTTTTAAATGATCAAATGACATCAAAAAAAAAAAAAGATTTCTTCCAGGTAGCACCTACTTGCAACAATTTGTTCTTTTCCATTTTCTTTTTTCACTGAAACTTCGACATATTTGACCATGAATCCTGCCTCCTGAAGAGGAAACACGGTGAACCATTACTACGCTCCATTTATCTCGCTCCCTTGGCTGCAGAGCATGTGAGTACATCCAGTTTATGGCTTAATTCGTAAGCTAAACCACAGACAGGATATCAAGGTGATGTATTACATAGGAATGTTGATGTACTGAAATGACGACAGCCAGACGTCAGAAGAACGGTGTTGCACATAAACCTTTTCTGGTAAAAAAGATGTACTGAAATGACGACAGCCAGACGAAGAATCATGTTTTTCACTGACTTATTACGAAGACAAATCTTTATATCGCTGATGCACTGCGTCATACTAAGAAGAATGGTGTTGCACATAAACCTTTTCTGGCAAAAATTATATAACATTTACTGAATTCGCACTGTAGAAACATGAGAACAATAATGTGGAAAAAATGTAGTTTAAACTGCTTTTAAAGTTCGTCACAAATATAGACGCTTCGTATATAAGTTCATCCAATTGATATTGATGAAACGAACACAACAACACCATGAAAAACCCGTGTCCTCGGGGAAAAAAAATTCCTCCCTCTACTTCGATGTGTCGAAACTTCTTTTTTCTCCCTACTGTACCCTCACCCGTCTAACAACAGTGCAAAATCAGGCCCAGCTACGACTGGTACTTCAACGGTGCGGCATACACAGTACAATCGCTTTGAAATTCTAATCAGAGTGCTGCGCAGCACAACAGATGGTACGTCAACAGACGAAGGGTCAAAGAGATCTGCTCTCAAAAGTCAACACGACTCATTATGTAAAGAATCATTTCCACATTTGTAAATGGTTTTCCTTCTGTCTAATCTCACATCTTCGTTCCATGTCCAGTTTCCATGCTCCTCCTCTGCATATCCTTACAGTGTCTGCAGAGATGAGGATCTGCTCTTCCCCCTACTGTTTGTCTTCTCTCTGACAATTGTTTGACCAAGTCTTCACCTCTGTTTATCAACAATCTGCCAATCGGCCAATCTGACTAGGACACATGCAACCCGGATACATCGGGCTTAAACAAGCAAGAGGTGAGGCATAGATCCTGGTTTCGTCTACACACATGATTTAACTCGGACCTGATGAAATATTTAAAGCAGACAATGGAACACTCCTCCACAAGATTCAAAGAATCTGTCAACTTCAGTAAGATTCTATATCTATATCTAAGCACTTAAAAGATAGGATTCTTCTTCTTCTTATGATGAGTCAAAAAGTTTACCCAACCCTGGTCTGGCAGAAACATCTCTCCTGACGGATCTGCTGTGGTTCAACCACTGGCTATGATTAGCAAGTTATCATTGAGTACATGGCCTGAAGTAAAAATGAATAAGCATGAATAAACAGAAAGCCAAGTGTTCGTGGGAATTGATTTGAAGGCCTCAAGAGTATTTTTATACTCTTGAGTGCTTTCCGCAACAGCTTGTGGGTTTGTGCGTGAGACACCAAGCAAAACTGTAGTAGCTACAGAGATGAAACGCTATTACTTATAATTTACGACACTCATCACAAAACTTTTCAAACTAAAAAAAAGTGAGAGGCAGGAGAAATAAGCCTTGGTCTCAGTTTGATGTCACGTAGATCTAATACCGTAATTTCCACAAGTGCAACTTAATATAGGCTGCACAAATCTCTAATGACTCCAATGGACCTGTCTTAGCAACGAGAGTTGCTAGAGCTAGTACAATGTCAGCAATTGACTTATTGTGATAGAATGATCAGATGTGGTATAAACTTGGATGTGGATTTTCAGCCTTAAAATCACCTCACAAAAGAGCTGTTCTTCACAGAATCATATTTGTCCATGCACATTCCCTCAGGGAGAAACACGCAGTAACAGCTGAGGAAGATGAGGTAGTTTGGAAAAAACATTTCTCTATATCTGTGAATGTCCTTGGAAGTGATCGATGCAGGTAATGACATAGAGCTTGTGATTAAGTGTTTGCTCGTTTGTCTATTTGACTGATCCAGTGAAAAGTATCCTTGTTTTATATCTTTTTTCTTTTCTGGTACTGTAGTTTCCCAGGGCTGCGTTACACAACCATCATCTGCACCAGAGACCTTCTTTAATGTCTATGGTCAGTCCTCACTATCTACCTTAGCACTATCCTAAGCAGATCCTAGGGGTGGCTCGATCTGATACTCATGGGTGTCGGTCTGATATTGGTAAAAAAAAACATCAACAAAAACAACTATAGCCTGTCCAGTCCACTACCTAAACCCAAATGTCAGACATTTGCACATCTGTAAATACTCCATAATATGTTCATAAATGGTTCTGATGTTGATTAATATCATCATCATGTCATCTCTGGTCAAACCAAATAAAGGCTTTTAAGCTCCGGCGGGCCATACATAATGACTTAGTGAACCGCATTTGGCCCCCGGGCCCTTATGCCCTTGTGTTTGACACGTGATTTAAGGGCCTAAATTGAAAGATTTGAATAAACTCTCTTCAGGTGATCAATAAAGTAATTTCTAAAAAGTAAAAGCTACAAAAATGTATCCACATAAATTAATGTTGTTATTATTGATAATAATAATATTACTATTCTTTTATCATTGGGGCACTGTTATGTTGACTTCATATGGGTTGCGGTATGGCATTCACCTTATTGCAAGGTCTTAATCCTGAATATTACCATGAAGTGTTTAATTAAATGAAATGTTATTTTTACTGATAAGTTAAACAACAACCACAATAATTCATTACATGTAGCAGTATTATGAGTTTTGGTGGAGGCGACTCTTTGGTCTTTGGAACCTCACAGCTTGTTTGGCCAACCACATGTTCTCAATGGCCCCTCGGGGGTCGGGGGGGTGAAGAACATAGAGGTTTAAGTGACTTCTGTTTGAACTGAGAACATAGCTGTTAAAGTCATATTTATAGCGAACAACCCTTGAGCTTTAATATTGTTAAGGTTCTATTAATAAGGCAGTACAGCAGCAGTGTGGGGATTCCCTATGCTCTTCTCACAGTACACGTAGTACTGTGTGTTTATCACGCAGTAAGAATCCCATTGACGGGAAAACCTCATGGAATCTTGTTTTTTGACCTTAAAGCAGACCTTAGTCGTGTGCATTAAGATTTAAATTGTGTCTTTTTCTTAGACGTTTACAGCTTCTTAAACAGTGCCAGACCTGACGGTCGTAATCTGTAAGTAAATTCTAGATGAAAAAAAAAAAAATTTGTCCTTGGAGGAAAAATACATAGTTAGTGTTGCGATTTAATTATAATATATATTTAGTAAGTATATATGTATATTCAAATATATAAATGTATATATATAAATAAGTATATATATTTATATATTTATATACAAATATATATATATATATATATATACCTAAATATATGTTGACACAAAATCGATATTTAACAAAATAAACAAATACAGATTTTTTTTTTCTTTTTTTTGTAAATCAGTGGGACACTGATTACACGATAATCACAGGCGATTTCAACGGAATTTCAAAAATCCATCCACGCTATGTTGAAAACAAAAAAAAAAAAGAACAGTGGCTTGAATGGCGTAAAAAATCCTTATATTTCACATATTTCAATATATTTTGTTAATTATAAAACAATTCAAATTAATAAATGAAAACGTACAGCTTAAGACAACTAAGTCAAATAGCCCATTAAAAACAAACAATCTAGTTTTGCTGATTGTTACATCTCGGAGCACATTCAG